ATATTCTAAACAATGTTTTGAAACAATATACGCTCTGAAAAGAGCACAGCATGTCATGATTTCAGTGCTCTGCCTCCCGCTCGACCACGCCCACTTCTTCACTGCAGAGATATGACACGCTGCAGGAGGAAGCTTTTCCTGCAGCTGTGGGCTGCACACAGGTGCAGCAGGTGCTAAATAATTTAAAATGATTTATTTTAAATAAAAACTTCATGCCGATCGTGGGGGTCATCCATCATTCAACCAACTGTGTGTCATGTCCAGTCTTGCTTTGAAAAACCGCGATAGAGCGCGTCCATGAAAAACGGACCGTGAAGTAGCGAGGGACTACTCTAATATGATTTGTTAATTTTAAATGCAATTTGACCAATACCTGTCAGTAATCTTATCATTGTGTTTATAACCAACATTTTCTGCTTTAGGAAGAGCAAAGGCAGACTTGTATTGAACAACAAAGTGGCTGAAACTTCTGAATGTTTAGCCATCAGTGTGGTGAGTTTAGGTCTTTGTGTGTAATTCTGTTCAAACTCTTTAAACCAAGAAGCTTTGCCTCTTTAATTATCTGTTAATTCATCATGTTTGAATATTGTCTACTCTAAATCTTTCAAATGCAAATGTTTCTTTTTTATCTGGTTCGGAAGCGCCTTATTTTTGTGTCTTGTTAGACCAACTCTGCACCAGTGGATGTGACTTATGAGAACAACGCCACCGCAGAAGAGGAGGAAAACGGAGGAAAGGAAGAGCTTAACTACGTTCGTGTGGACTTTGTTAAACGTCATTTCAGGTCGGAGGGCGAGCTGGGGGAATGTGATGTCAGAGGACTGGCGTCAACTACAACTGAGTACTCTGAGGTTCACCTGCACTGCAGAGGAGATGAGAGGAGATGAAAAAGAGGAAGAGGAATTTGGAGACACTCATATGAGATAAGGGGAAATGTTAATGTTACAGGACAGATTAGTGAGAACGTGACTGTGTAACTGTAGGTGAATTTAAATGCGGATTCAGAACTTCAGGGTCAGAGCTGAACTGCTTTCAGCTGCTCAGCTGGGATTTCTGACCAGTAAAAAGTCAAGAAATCTGCAGAAATGGAGATTAAATCTGGTTCTTTTAACCTATAAAATATGCTGCAGTCAAAGCTCATAATGTTTGTTCTTGAAATTTTATCCTTTATTTTAACCAAGCCACTAAAGATAAACAGTTGTTTGTGTTTTTAATGTTTGTATGCTAACATTGGTAATATATATATATATATATATATTTCTTATAGAGAAAAACCCATGTTTAATGTGAAAAAAGAAATGGACTATTTTATAAACTCTTTTTATTCATAACGTTTTATGTGTTTCATATCTTTAAATTTGCAGTTAGCTCATCAGGTGCAATCAAAGCGTTTTATATTATAAAGCCATAAACGCACAATATGAGATGTTTTTCATCAGATACAAACCTCATCAGAAAAAAAATAGCACAACTTTAAAATAATAATAGATATATACTATATACCTCATTCTGTACAAATCACTAAAATTGAGCTAACCTAAATTAAACGTGTTAAACATTTAAAGTAGAATACCCGCCACTTCTTTTTCTAGTTTTTGGTGTTTTCTGACAACACAAACTCAAACAGAGATGCACCTAAATAACTTTTAAAAGTGGAAAAATGAGCATTTAAACTTGTATCATCTTTACAATGATATATTAAAAAAACAACATGCTTTATTGAAAGAAGATGGCCGACAGATTGCAGTTGAGTGTGAGCTCAGAGTTTGACCTGAGCGTACTGAGTGTCCTCCTCGGAGCTGCTGGAGTCTCTGGTGGCTCTCTGGTGACCAGACTTTGGTTTAAAGTTCACCTCAGAGTAGGTGACCTCCACTTCATCCTCACTGGTCTCTGAGTCATCTTCATCAGAAGACGAAGGTTTGGCTGGATTTGTCACGTTGATGTTTTCATAGGCCGTCGACTTTTGTTGTTCTTTCTGGAAAAAAGCAGATTATACGTGTTACATTCATCCTCCATGTCTGGATTTCATGCACAGCTGAATATAGTTTATGCATTTGTCATGTTTTGCTACTTGAGTAGTCCCTCGCTACTTTGTGGTTCGACTTTTGCGGACTTGGTCTTTCATGGTTTTTCAAAGTAAGACTGTACTCAAGGAAAATAAATAAATAAATTAAAGTTTGTACACAATAACTGATTTTCAACTTTAATATTACTCACGTGATTGGGACAGTATGGCATACAGTAAAAAGTTAATGAAAAAACTTTGGACAGGCGCTGCCATTTTGTAGCTTTGGCTCCGTAAGCCTACACTGTATCGCCACTCAAAAGAACTACATTACCCAGAAGCCAACAGTGCTTCTGACTGTTTCGTTCTACTAAAATGGAAAGAAAGTTTTGATCTAATCCGAAAAATTTCAATCCTAATTCATATTGACTTTGGTGCTCAGTGGATGCAGAGAGCTGTACGGAACCAACCGGGAATTGGGCAAGAACCGGGCCTCCAGCCTCATCCAGCTGCTTGCTGGCCCATGAGGCCTCTCGAGCGGGGACGCGTTGCTTGGAGGTCCGGTGTCTTCTCTGGAGCTCACCAGGACTTTTTTCATCCGTATCCCTCTGGATTATTTAAATTCTATGGACCGTTGTGTGGGTTTTGTGCTGGCTCTCCAAAGATCCGGCTCTCTCTAAAAGCATCTTGGTGCTCAACGGCTGCATCGAGCCGATCAGAACCGGGCCAGAACCAAGGCTGGTTAGAACCCATATAAAATTTTGCAGTAAGTAGCTGTTGTGCAGTACATATACGTATGTTGTTACAAGAATGTAGGAAGGGTTTATAAAACCTTAATATATATAAATATTAATAAATATAATGTCCCTACTTCACAGTTTTTCACTTATGGGGGGGGGG